CCAAGTATAGCTAAGATATATATATAAATATTTCTCCTGTAGATGTGTCAATGACGACACCACCGCAGATCAGTTGGAGTTTGTTACCCATTGCACAGTCGGCAGTGGCCCCCACGACGATACAGCATCGCGCCGTGCACGCAACGCCAACGATTACCAAGTTATTTTGAATTATGAGCACATTATACATCGGACTTTTATCATTTAATTTTCTCGTTGTTACCGGGACAGAAGCTTCTCAATGATTTAACGTCTTCGACTAATATTATAGACGTTACATTTACAACGTCATGTCTCCCACCATCTCCAACCCCTACAACATTTTTTTCGGAAATGATTAGGAGAACCTGAAATGTCAAAAAACGAAGTTTAAGCGATTTGTATTTTTTTTTCGTATTTTTGCCCCTAGCGCCGATTTTCAAAAACTACAAAGCTTTTTCTTCCGTGGCATAGCAGTAACCATGTGTGAAAATTTCATCAAAATCCGAACGGTGCTTTTCAGTTATAGGCAGCTATAAGGACAGACAGACAGATATCGACCGACGGAAACGTTTGTACACGTCATATGACATTCAAAAAACATATCTCAATTTCTAATTTTGTTGCGATTTACTATACGTGCTCGCCAGTTTTGGCATAGGAAGTAAAAATGGCATTTCATTTATTTCTTAATCCTTATACTAGTGATCCCCCATAAAATAGCGAATCAAGTTCATCTTTCTATTGAGAAGTTTATACTTTCTTTCGAGAGTGCTAAAAGAAAAGAGATAAGGATTTTCGTTTCCGGTTCCTTAGACTATTACAAATTTTAGGAAAATCCCGGAACCTTCGGGACCGCTGTATGACATATCCATGACCCATCTCTAATGGACAGTCTCGGGCTTTGCGAGATTTCCTAGGACTGTTCCATAGTTGTTACTGTTTTGTAGAGTAATTCCCAACAACTTTTGAAGGTGGTGTATTTTAATTTTTCAACAAGCATCAAGTAGACAACATTAATCTGATAGCTCCTTCAATATTCATTCCAATCATTCCGTTGGTGGCATTGGGATCAGGAATAATAAATAGGATAGGGGGCCGGGATACGTCAGCATGCAGAGAGTTTTGCAAATTCAGGTACCTACTCTGTTTCTGAGAACGAGGCGATTTCCAGCTCTCTCTTTTAGATTTAATCTGTATTCAGCGTTAAAAGCATGCTTCCGAACAGCCAGGAGAGTCGGTCTGCATGCAACGAAAATTTAAGGAAATTGGGAAAATGTATTTTACTAGAGAAGTTCCACAGATTGGAATGTTACGAGACAGTGGTTTTTAAGTAAATGACAATGATTTTTGTGCGGTTATACCACTATTTTTCATGACATCAAGGAGATAATATCATCACTTGAGGAATCCTTACCGCAAGGACGCTATATTCGTCTTGTCACTTGGTAGTGACAGAAAAGGTAGTGAAATAATTTCTTGGGGAACTTGACGTGCATCTGTCAGAATTGTGAATGCAAGTAGTCAAACGATGCCCGGCGAACAGTGTCAACTACCATATATCTGTAGCACACAGGCAAGTTCAGAAGAGGAGATCCGCAAGGTTGAGGAAGTAATGACAAATAACGGACCACCAAGAAGAATAGTAACTGAAGTTTTGCAAGAGGATACTACAATCAGGAGAAGCACGCGGGCTGAACAGCAGCACGCCCTCGTGATACCGTACGTGGAAGATATTTCTAGTATCATAAGAAAAATCGGGAAGCAGTACCACATCGAAAACAGGTTTTCAAGGAATATAACACTAGGGAACACTAGGAGCATTCTCACAAAAACCAAACCCATGAATGAAAGTTAGGGCACCAAGGGCTGCATATACCAGGTTCCATGTGAATGTGGAAAAGTTTACATCAGGGAGACAAACAGACCACTGGCTGAAACAGTGAAGTAAGGAATAGCAGAACACGCATGCAGAGAACATCACGAAACAGACTGGGAAGACATCAGGAGGTAGCTTATATATCCAGCAACAGCAACGTGTATAGTAATGGTGGCGTAGAAATCAAACCTATCAGCAGCATCAACACACTAAGGTTATAAGAACCAGGGTAGACCTCCGGGAGAACACGTCATGATCACCGACCAGCCACATCGCTCAGAACATGTCATCACATAGGACACCTCAGCGATAACAGTATAAATGCCGTGCGAAGAACATGTATGCCAGTTCACCTAAAGAGGGTTGAAAATAACTTATCAAAACGTTGTGGTCTCAAAAATTATATAGACAATGGAAGCCCGAAATAAAACTTTTGAAATCAACTTCCCGTGGTCCTTTCATTGTTACATTGTGTGTAACAATTCTCACATTGGAATATACATCAGAATCTTATCTGTTTTTGCTTGTGAAATGTTGCTACCTCGTCTGTTCTTCTATTCATCTACCTGCGACATATTTATAGATACTACTAGCAAAGTGTACTACCGGATGAAGACAATAAAGCTCAATATAAATACACACACACTAATTGTTTGTAGTGACTTTAATTCTGCACCAACTGTATCAACAAGTGCTATGAGATCATTGTAAAACTGTCAAGGTGTTTTCAGATGGTAAATCAACTTTATCTGGATTTAGTATGGCGGAATATATAGCTTCAACAGTCTATACGATGCAGTTTGATTTGCAATTTATTTTTATAAAAACGTCCTCTGTTCGGATGACGTATTTACATTTTCTACGATTGAGTCTGAGTTTCTGATAATATAAACCGCTAAATTGAACATTCATAGGTAAATAGAAAATAAGTTTATACTTCAGATAGTTATTTTGCAGCAATAAAGGCAAAGACACAATACCGAAATACCAGGAAGTTCTAAAAGAGTAAAAATACTACGTTAATAATTGTTTTGAGTTCCTAATTTTGGCATTTTCATAAAACTAATAGCGAACATTAGTTAAATTATTGAATATGTCACAATACCATTCTGATTCCAGTATAGTATTCATAAAACCGTGAAGCAAAGTAACACGTTTTATCAATCGGTTGCGATTATAGCAAATAGCTGCGGCCATAACGGCGATGTTGTGTTACTACGACGGGCAAACAAGGTATAATTAAAATTAATGAACCCCTTTGAGGCTGGCGACAGTTGAACGCCGGTAGGGGCACCGGCCAAACTGAGGCCAAATTACCAACACCAACTATAAATAGTCTATGATGGCTTTATTCATTGTTTTATTACGCGCTGAATAGACAAAATAGCGGCTGCATCTCGGGTGAAACTTTTAATCATTACTAATTATTGTACTGAGTGTTAAGTGTAATGGATTACACGTTTTCAAGAGACGCCACATATTTAGAATGGCAGTCCGACATTGGTTTCTCCACAATCGCATATTCAATACTTGGAACAGTTTACCAGAAAGTATGGTTCATGGTACGTCAGGCAACAGCTCAAAGTTTATTACGATGAGCGGAACAGTAAACAAACTTACAGCGACGAGGTCTGTAAATAAAGTCATGAGATTGGTAACGAAGCATTCGATCTGGCAGGAGCGGGCTTGGGGGGGAGACAGGGGAACACGTGGTTCGCCTTCAGAACAAGTCTGAACTGGCTCGACTGGCCCAGGTTTTTCGGTGGTTTAAGGCATTTTCAGAAGGGATTGAAGATGAATCACGTAGCGGAAGGCCTTCATCCCCAAGAACCGAAGAAAGACAGAATCCGGGATTATGTGCGTTCAGATCATCGGATGGCAGTCAGAATAATCGGGGAAGAGTCAAATTTGACTCACACCAACGTTCTTCAGATCAAGAACAACTTTGTGCTGCATAACGATAATGCTCTTTGTTGTGAGTTTCTAGTTAGTAAAAACGTTCCTATGACTCTCCAGCCTCCTTATTGGCCTGATTTGAGTTCTTGTGACTTTTTTCCCTACCGGTGTTGAAAAATCACGTCAAGGGAACTCTTTTGGGGGCAGTCGAAAACATTCAAACGGCTGGAATCAACCAGCTGAAGGCTTTTCCAGTACCAGAGGTTCAGCACTCAACAACACACAAAAAAAAATTAAAAATCATTATCATACCTTAATTTACAGACCTCGTGTGAAATTTTTGTTTTTATTTTATGTGCTTTACTCTACTTATCCGTTTTTCTTTTGTACATTAGCTTGAAGTATTCTACTCTGCTCATTTCGATTTCGTAATAATACTAATTATTATTAGTCAAGTTGTAAGCTGGGTACATCAAAATTGCGAATAAAACATTTTTACTGCCAATAAAGTCATAGCTCGACGTGATTTTCAATTCAGATTCAACCAATTTATCTTCTAAAGTTGACAAATCCTTTGCGTATAAATAAAACGGCATAATATCCCTGCACCTTCTACCCTAACTTCTTTACTTTAACAACCCAAATATTCCACTTTATATACGTTATTTCCCATATAAACGCTACCTCCTTCTGGAGATGGATCTTATTCCCCTGCTTTTCCCATTCGGTGTGTTACTCCTCAACACTCGCCGGTTTCAATGAATACATTACGTACTAGACGCTCGTGCTTGTGGCTTTAGATCTTTCAATAGCTATTCGAATGTCTCTCAACTCACTCCTAACGTTTATTTCCTTTTTGCAGAGAGATGTAAACATCGATTTGAGATTAGGTTTTACAGGTAGATATAACGTGACACTACGATGCCGATGAAATAAGGTTTAGATGACCTTTCTGTAATCTCAAACATATCTGAATGTGAATGAAGATAAATAACACCCTTAAAGAAACGATGATTTCTAAGCTGACAGTGCCAGTGGAAAACGGTACATTTCTATTTAGCGGTGTGTTCTATATGCACCTGTACCTGTTAAAAATAGATAGTGACAAATGTAAATATCTGCACCTTCACCTTTGATTTTATCGCTTTATCTAGCGCCGTCTGCCACTGAACGGGACGGATATAGAATTATAGACTAACTGCCTTGACTTTTACTTAATTTGCAACATAGGTGCCACATCTTTTACCTTTTCATCATAGTAGTTCTCGTTCCTACCACTATAATATACTTCTGAAGAATATGTGGTATAAGATTTTAATCTAACACTTCTTAATGTAGCACCTGAAGCTTATCTTATTATTATTATTCTATGACCAAATGCAACCACATAAATGTGTAAATAATTGTATTTCACTGAAGTTTCGATCACAGCTGTCGCTTTTTTTAAAGCACAAATCAATGTCATTGTCATCTTTTTGGAAATAGTTAACACAAAAAAAGAACAAAAGTATGAGTATAAGAGTTTTAGGAATCAGATTTTTATTGTCTCAAATTGAACATAACGCCTTAAAGAAGCTAATCTGACAGACCAGTGAGCATTCAGTCCAACAAAAAAAGGAAAAGTGAAGCAAAAAGAAACCAAAGTGTATCTCTGTCAGCGCGCCAAAGGTATTTCCTGGTATTGTTTGGGGTCACTTAAATATATCTGTGTACTTTTTATTGTTGAAAGGCGATCAAGTGGTGGAGGAGCGAGCGATATGACAAGAAAAAAAAAACGCATTTCTTTTGTTCTAAGATCTGACCAAACGACATTCCTTTCAGAATGTCTTTTTGAAGTGTCCAGATCAATCATACCTCCAAGATAAAAGTAAAATGGCTTAATGTTATAGGTACTTTTAGTTATTATCGTATGTAAAACACACTGTGGACGGCAAAGTCAGTAGATACTAAAGCACTTTCAAGTGACCAGTGATACTGCTCGAGATATCACACATACTTTAAGCTAAAGCACATTGTTTATAAGTCGCTGTACAGAGCATTCAGTAGATCGACGTGAAGTTTCGAAAGGCTGATTTACAGCATTCAACCTTTTACTTGTTTTGTTTGAAGAATCTGAATACCGATGATGTACCATGACGGTTATAGTATTGTGATTTAAAACTCTTTTGACATGTTGATCCGACTTTACTTCCTGTCTGTCTATTTGTATGCTTGGACAGGCTGTAACTTGGGAAGTACCGGTGAAATTTGAATAAATTTTTTCACAAAGTTACTGCTATTCTAAGAACGAACAACCTTTGTAGTTTTTGGAAATCGGTCCAGTGGCGGTGGAGCTTTGGCCAAAAACGTGAAAAGAATAAAAATCACTGAAACTTTTTTGACGTTTCAGAGGATTCTAAACATTTTCGGAATTTTTTTTGTACGGGTTGGAATTTGAGGGCTGTATACCTCCGCACATCTGCTCCAGAAATTGCCATCTAGGCTCATCGCGCGGTGAACCAGTATGGCTGATAAATCTATCCAAAACATATACAGAAATCCATATTATACTACTGACGTCGCTATGTGTACGAGAGAGAAGCGTGCATTAGGTATGCTAGAAAGAGAAGCACTTCGTTGCCTAGCAACCCGAGTGATGAGGCCAAGGACGCGTTGCCGTCGGTGCACCCTTTCTGACATTCGTATTGCACGCTTGTCTCTCGTACACATTACCTCGTCTGTGACACTTGGATTTTTCTGTACACGGAAACGGAGTGAACGATATCTGCTGCAGCGGTGCCAGGGTGGGCGCTGAAGCGGTGCCATGGTGGGCGCTGCCGCGAAGATGTAGAAAGGGACAACATTGCCAGATGGACTACTGGTCAGGCAGGGAAATAATGTATATGGACTAATTGTATGGGCCTGTTTGATTGACTTGATCCGTTTAATTTCCATGTTGAGTATGTTGGTAAATGACTTTTTTCTCAGAGGATTTGGATTGTGGTGTCTTTAATCCTTCATGAACTGATGACGGCGTTGCTTAGGGACTGCAGAGCCGGCCTTCTTGACGCCTTTCTTGAACTGCCTAATTCAAGCGCAACTGTTAGGATACTGATTTAGTTAATGATTAGAGTCAGTAAATTTTAGATGCTTCCTTTGATACAATATCCTTGTTGCTACGGTGTAGCTGAATTAGTAAAGCTGCAGCTTTTAAAATCGCTTAATATTTCCGTTCATATGAATCCATTTCAACTGACACGGCTATACACTGAGTAAACGTATGAAACTCATTCGAATCTCAAACTGATACATAAACGATTTATGTGCGTTTATAACTCGGTGGTGGGTTTTTAATATGACGCCGTTTCGCCATTTTGCAAAAGGATAAATCACTTTTAGCTACCAGCAGAAACCCAACAGCGGTTCTAAAACATATCACCATATATTAAAATCATAACTCGCAATATACACATTCATGTAGGAATGTCGCATGGGATAGAAATGGAGAAATCCACATGGCAGAGTACAGGGTGGCATGATTAAGGTTTAAAAACGACACAGAAACAACCCCAAGAAAATGTTGACAATAAGATGTTGAAGGACATTTTTTCACATCACTGATGCTTTAGGAACGCTTGTATAAACTTGTTTTTGCTTCTGTAATACTGGCGATTCAAAATGAAAAATGATGGAGAGTAGATCTTATCTGCGATACCGCTAGAATCGGCGGCATCAATCTGCCACAGTGGTGACCCCTTGTGACAAATGAGAACAGGGATACAGTTCCAACAGAAGGCGTGCTGTTTCACTCTCGCAGTGGTCAACAATGGCACTGTCTGCCGACTCAATTCGATGAGTTGCCAAAAAAGCACTAAACAGCTCTCCCTGTTGGGCACTCGAAAATTCTAAGCGTGACAAGGTAAAAAGTATGATAAAGATGCCTGACTCCAAATATTTTGGACTTCCTAATTGTTTACCAGATTTTGAAAAGAGATACCAAAAAATATCGAAAAACGCTGTTTTCAAAACCTACCAAGCATTTTTATCCCTGGCGTAACATTCATCTCGTGTTAAAAATTTTGTCAAAATCAGAGTGGTACTTTCCTTAGATTCAAATTTTCTCCTTTAAAGGCTCACCAGCGACATTTTTGTTACAAAAATGACAGATTTTTGGTGTTGCCTTTTCAGTAATTACGTTTTCAATTAACACATCTGTTTTCTGTTTTGCAAATTCCGTACGTACGTATTTGATATAATAAAAATTTTCCACCATGTACGAAGAAATGGAAACGTGATATATAGTACGCGACGGGATTTGGGCATGTAGCGCAAAATTCATGATATATCGCCATGAGATTCAACCGTTTACCCAACCAGGTGCACAAGCTTGCAAATGTAACCTAGATCTCGATAGAAAGAGACCAACCGATTCAAGATAAGACGCGCCTCTGCCACAGTATATAAAATACGTCAACGCAACTTCCTAAAAAATTACACTCAACTTTTGAAAGAACTGTGATCGTCAGAGTTCGACATACGTTTGTAGTGGGGACTCTGTAATATTGGCAGCTTTTGATACCAGCTCCAGAATCCTCAAAAATCGATATAGTAGGTATTTGGTTAGCACGGCTTTTAGTTTTTAACACGTTCAGTGCGAACAGCGTCAAAAGACGCCCTCCGCTCCTGTGGTGGGAAGCGAACGGCGTCTTTCGACGCTCTCTGGCGGTTTCCAAAAAAAGTATTTCAGTTTCTGAGGTGGATATCCTCATCCCAGTTCGCAGTCAATGTGTTAAATGGCCGATATTTTGGCGTCACTTGCACTTTTGGCTGGCTAGACAGCACGACTAGTTTCGAACCAGTTCTTATCCCCGCTAGCACCAGTCCGCTTCCAGCAAGCCGTTTCACGCACAAAAAGGCCTAATGTTTTGGTATAATTGTGCCTACATTGTCTAACGACTAAAAATCTGTAGTCACAATGTCCAATCGAAATTACACTCAACACGCATGTCATATGTATACCGTGTATTGCCTTACTTTTTACCAATGCTCGATTGCCCTACTATCATTATAACATCAGGGTGTATAGTGTGTTGCCCCTGATGTATCTTCTGTGGAAATTGGAGATTGTAACTGTTACCGATGCAAGCTAATACTTTGGTAACAGTTTTTTAACAATCATACGTTGTTTGGCGTGATGACAATTATGGGTATCGAAAGATCATCCTCCTCAAGATCGACTAAAAAAATTTTTGCCGTCTACTAGTCCAGCGCTAAAGTGTACTAAAATATCAACAAAATTAGAAAAGCAATGGGGAGCGCGAGATCAAGTTTAGTATCAAAACATATAGAATCGTCAGTCCTAAATTCAAATTTCCCTAACCTCAGAAAATCATTGACAGATGCGCGTTATGCGACAAATAAGTCACTGATATTGTAAGAAGTTGCGTTGATGCCTTGTATTGTATATGCCGCGCCTCTATCTCTGGTCTGTGCCGACTTCGCTTTGCCGACACTTAAAATGGCTTTATTTTCAGTCCACGACAACTTTATCGCTATTTGTGCAATAATCCATGTTTATTTCGTTGTAATCGACACACTCAGATAATATTTCAACTGTGATATCTCGAGTGTACTTATAGAAGATAATATTATGTACGTAGTATTTGATATGAAGTATATTTCGCTATACAATATTTTATGAACTGATAATGGAAATATTCTTGTGAAAAAGTATAAGTTTACCTGAATTGCTTGTATCAAACTTGCAAGTAGAAACGGCTTTGGGAAGTTGCGTGGAATCTTGTTGAAAAAGCTTCTCGTCTAAGACTTTTGCTATTTTGCTCTTTCCTTCAGAATAGAGCTTGCATACACAACGAAATCAGAAATAAATAAATATTGGAAGTATATTTTAAAGGCTCCCAAAATACCTTTCTCATCTGTAATCTAGCCGAAAGCTTGTCCAGTGCGTAAGTCATGAATCTGGTAGGTATTGATATTTCACTTATTTTCTTACTGAAAATAGAGCAGCGCAACTTTTTAGCATTTATAATAATAAGACAGCAGTGTGCCATCTGTTACAGAATCGACCACCGCGAGAGTGAAAGCATCAAGCTGTCTTTTGTCTGTAGCCCAGTTTGCATTGTAAGCAAAGTCACCACTGTGGTCACTAGATGCCGCCGATTTTGGTGGAATGAAAATTTTGTAAAAATTGGCGAAACCGCCCATAATTTGATCATTAGTTTATATAGTTTTCCACGCCACTGAGTACATTGGTTGGCTGATAAACTCTCAAGCTTCTTGACCTATCATGAAAATGTCGATTACGTCACTGTGGATAAATCAAATAGAATTGTTACTCGGAAAGCCCATAGAATATTAACTGCCTGTTAAAATTTCTTCGAATTCCATTGTTGGGTATTCCAGCAAAACCTCAGGTTCAAGGTGACACTTTTTGTATAATTTTCTTGCAAATTTACGTTATTGTACAGTACCAACAACCAGTGAGTGTTTACAGATTATGTGAAAGAATCTCAGATTTCAATATATGAGACTGCTGAAGCGCATGGAGTTTAGGTTTCAGGTCAGCTCCGAGTATGAGCTTTCCCCCCGTATCTACTAGTTATCTGAAGCACTGTTGAAATGCCTATATTAGCGTTGTAAGATATTTGTTAATACATTTACTAAAAGCGAGATAGCTAATTCACAAGTCTAGATTAATTTTTTCAAAATAAATGATGCGAAGATTTATAGGTCCTTCTGCATCTTCTGAACGTCATGTGTAATATAATATACTCACTATTACTGTTGCAAATATTCCAGCTAGAATTTCGTCATCTATCTTTTTATTTGTAGTGCCAATCCGTACAAGGTTGTACCTTTTATCAGCAGCAACCGATATATCATGCTATCACAATATTGAAACGCTGTCTAATGTCGCTACTATACCGGGTGTTTCAAATTCTATCCTCACTATTAGGGTTTTTTGAACGATGAGAGACACGAAGTCGCAATTTCACGCATTTAGGTCACTAAATTTCAAGTATCTCCGGAGACGAAAGAACCCGAATTTTCATAAAATTGTTTTTAATTTTTCTTGACGTTATTTGAGATGGGATTTCAAAATAAAGGGTACTTTGATATTGTCACTCTGCCTCAATCATCAACTTTATTTTTTCTTATGGACGTCACAGTTGAATAGTTTTTAAATCTGATTCCAAAATTATATAATAAGTTATACGTTGAAATTGCAAACTTTTGTTCAAAAAAGTTCGTTCCTTCAGTTTTTATGAACTACACATATGGGAAGAGTCGCTATTTCCAGTTTTAATGATATGATATTGTGCCTCATATCTAAACCGACACACATATCTTACATCTTCAAATAATATTAATCTACGGCTGAGGTGTCATACAGAGCACCCCGATCGTGGTACAATAGCGCTTGTTATAGTCTATAAATGGGAAAATTATCTGCATGTCCTTTAAGCACGCTTCGCAGAAATTGAAGCATTGGTGATTAAGTCAAATATACATGGGATACATTACCACCTTCAAAGCCAACTATGACAATATTAGTGTTTTCGAAATAACTTAGGTTGGAAAATATCAAGGCATGATTATTCATTTTTGGAATCAGAATTGAACATGACGTCTTTGAGAAAAAAATGAAGTTGATGGTTAAGGACAAGAGAAGAAATACGAGTACCATATCGAAGTCTCATTTTGTAGAGGAGAAAGAGTGGCAATATGAATGCACCTTTTTATTTTGAAATCCCATCTCAAACAAAGCCAGGAAAAAATAAAAACGGTTTTGGGAAAATTTGTTTTCTTTCGTTTATCTCCGGCAATACTCGGAATTTTGAAACTTTCTATATACCATTTTCTTTGTTTCATAAATGCTATTTTAGTTAACTGACTTTATATCTCTTACCGTTATCGTGATCTCAGTCGTGATAAACCAATTTGAAACACCCGGTATGAATGTATATCGTATAGCATTCTATCAATTATACATCCGAATTTGGGTATTATTTGGATGAGGTCCAACTTTATCCTTAATAGCAATCATCTGTATGTTATAATGGGGCCTACAGAAAAAATCTACAACTATATTGTGACATCGCTGAGATTTGATCAAAAACTTTCATAAAAATGTTTTGAAGACAATATAAATAAAAAACAGACGTCTCTTTTCTCTATATTATCCGCACATATGAGCATCCAAGTTGCAGGTTAAGCGCTTGCAACCGTAGCAACAGCAGCTGGCGAAAAGTTGAAAACTCCGCGGCGGAGTTTTCAATTCGACGAATTTTTAAAACTCCATCAGCGGTTAAAAAGCTCCCAAAGTAAATAGCGAAGTATGGCGGATTATTAAAAAAAAAGTTTCAAAACATGTGCAGGTTGAGAGGAGAAATGTGTAGTATTAAATTTGAAATGTTTTAGGGGGTAAAGGATTGCATACATTCCCTGGTATTTACATAATTCAAGCGCATTTCGCAAGCATGTGGAAAATATGTTTCGTGTGGTTTAAAAGTTTCTCGGATTTACTTCCAAAGGTCTTAAATTAAATTTTATATATTTCTGTTGCCTTACAATGATACAGTTGGCTTGACTCCTACATTGCGCTGATGAGTCTCAACAAAGCTGAGACGCTTACCGCATACAATTAGTTGTGAAGCAATTCGTACTGCCTTTAAATTGAGCAACATGCATCTAAAGGCCATTTTGAGTATTTATTGTACGCACATGGTATTTCCGAATTACCATATCTCATATTTCATCAGAACTGCTCCGAAACACACATGTGGATCGAACACAATAATGGAAAAGTGTCCCCTGCAAGTTTACAAACGATTATGAACCACCGCACCGGCCACTTTGCAGCTTGCATCTGGTAACAATCACCGTGCCATTCTTCGGGTTCTTAAGAAACGCAGCGTGCCCTGCTTTTGACAGCTCGACGACGCCCATTATGGGGTCCGCACCCTTCAGATTTATTATGTTTGCTTTGGGGTTCCTTAGTTTTCGGACAACGCTTCCGGTACAGAATAAGATTGAAACACTGCTTTTGGATTACCACGTACATACCACGAAATAAAAATTGTGCAAGGTATATATTCAACTATGACTATATAAATAAGATGACAAGTATCCGGAGTATCATTCAGACGTATGCCTTCAAACTGCTATGACGAAAATAAAATATTGAGCATACCTAAACCCAAGTTAAGCAAAGCGTAGACTGTGTCTATGCTGAAGGTAATGTAATAAATTTTGAAAACGAGATTACGGCGATATTAACCTTGCGAATATTTGCTCATTTATTGGTTAAAACAAACCGTCTACGTAGTTGCATCAACTGATTTTACCTATATATAATCATAAACATTAGCATTATAATCACATGGGATTTATGCGAGGATGTATAACTGTTTGTTTCTATCAATTTCGTAAAATTTGCAGTTATTGCATTCACGTTTTTACCTGAAAACCCACTTATCAAATGAATGAATAAAAATACACAGAAATAATAGTTAATTCTTAAGGTACCAAAAACTACTAGAATGTCCACATTTTAAAATACATATATTTTTTATCTTACTGTGTTGAAAACAATTTTTTCCGACAATGCTTCTTTCTCACGGTTTATGTATGGAAAAATCACACAATTTGCGATAAATTTGAAGTAATAGTTAATAACAGCTACAACTTGACAATTTTCTTGTGTTTGTTTGCCTACTTTACTCTTTAAGCGATTTACAAATCAATATAATTTTCTTTTGTCTGTGGACACAAACGCTTTTGTTTGGCAGTTAACCTTTTTCATTATATTTAACTGTTATAAATACAGAATTTTGGTGGAAGTTAATGGCCATAACATATCACAGATTTGCAATCTTTCAACAGCAAACAAAAGCTCCTAAATTAGAAATATTAACAATATAACTGGATACTTTCTCATTGTTATGTAGCGGATTTTCTTCCCGATTACAATGACGATAATCTCATAATGTGGGTCTAGACCGATATGCAACCAATATGCAATCAAGAAGTGAGATTTCTCCATTATCACAGGTCGTAAACGGTTTTCTCCTGTAACTATGCGACTACTAATACCAATAAGATCCCTTTTTTACATTTTTCTATTGTTTGGGAGGAAAAAATCGGTATCCAGTAGGGTGACTCTGCATTTCCCACGCTACGCCGCCATCAGATCATAAAGGACTCGGTTCACCACAAGTCAGACCCTATCGAAATAGGACCTTATATCCTGGATGAAGGATAGTACTATGCCTTTATTTATTATCCAAGAGACCAACTCTAGGCCATGCTAATGAGGTGACAAACAGCACAAAGCAGCTGTCCATGGTTTTCTGTCTTTATCCGGAGAGACGAAAGCAGAATATTTAAGTTAGACCCACTGAGAAAGCAGTTAGTTACGAACTTGTATAACAGAGAAATTAAACAGATCCATAAATTGGTCCATAGACATTCTTTCACTGGCCTACCCGTAGTACCGTTCATCTGGCAACGTGGCCTCTCCAAAATAACTGATTCCAGGACGCATCAGACACGGCAGTGAGACACAGAGCCTGTCATGCGAGGGCACTTATAAAGACCGACACACCGGCCGGTAAAGCCAGAGAGCATATATATGGACCCGTGTCGAAAGCATAAGAAGTATCCTTTAAGTCACCGGTGGTAGGCGTGGAAGTAAAAGGAGCGACCGTACTGACCTGTCTTCGATGTCTGCAGCTTGATCACATTAGATCCATCTGGCAAATTATTTCCGGAGCATGACGTATGGCGTGCGACAACAAAATCCGTACAAGCTGGATCGAATCACCCAGCGCCCTGCTTTCAGAAGTAAACTTCGATGGAAGGTCCACAAATCTCGATCGCTATCTTTTGATTTATGTTTTCATTTTTTCTATAATCCCTGCCCTGATGTGTTTCCTATAAAAACGGCAGAGCGGCCGTCGGAAATGTCACGTGGGCCTTTGGGATTATAGGGCGCATTTTAGGGATTAATCGATCGACAAAGGGGTGATTTTACGAATCACTTTCCACCCTTCTCAAACGCCTGATATTACGCATATGACAGAACGACGTCGATCAACCGTTGATAAGACCTTATGACTTTTTGATATGGGACCATAAAAAATTGTGGCGTTTCGATTTTGCTTATCGATACCAGCGGGTTCCAGTCTTTATAGGTAATCTAATCCTCGCGGATTTTGAGAGAAATTAAAAACAAACCAAAAATTCACCCCACCTTAAACAACTGACGCTCTAAAAATATACTTTATTTCAAAAATATTATCCTTTTCCTTGTCTCGAGAAGTAGATATACGAAATTTTAGAAATTTGCGTTGCTGTATGCTCAGCAAGAATAGTATTTTACAATACTTATCTGGGTTTTATCGATTTTGTTCGGAAGCATTTAAAAGGAAGATGTTTCAGTGTAATTTAACTCAGGGCGACGGATGTTGGTCATATGTTCTCTCGAAAATTTCTACTTCCACTGTATTACTAACATTACTACGTAATATTCTAATTTAGTCCCCAAAATCTGTGCTTCCGTGTAAACTTTAAGTGTTTAGGTAAAATGAAAATAATTAATAATCCAAATAGTTTCATTTTCACGAGACTATGTCGAATAATATCATTCAATAACGCCCAAATTTCATGATTTCTTAAGATATTTAAGATTTTGAGAAGAAATGTATAGGTCCTGTAATTCGGATATTTGCCTAGAAGATACAAAATATTATAAAAAACTTCTAGCATTCTAAAAACCTGACACGTCATTCTAAGTAAGCATAAAACGATGTCAGCGGAAGGGAGTTTTTGCTTTTAACAGATAATTGTGGTCTACGGATGTAGCATCACATGATTCGGTAGGATCAGTAGTTGTATATAAGATATACGTTTCCTTTAAGAAAGAAATCTGCTCCATGCTTTGCGAACACATCAGATTTTTTATTACCAACCATTCTCATATGACTTGGCGCTTCCAAAAGATACTAAGTGACATATAAATGCGAACACCCAGGTTAAATGGTTTTATTTTAATAAAAGTTGGTGAATGTATTTATCTTACTGTAAATAACAAGTGAAACAATTTTCAGCCTTATCAGTTGGACATTCCGGTTTTTATACTGCTTTTTTTTTAATTCACTAACGCTCTAAAAATGAATATTTCAGCCGCAGTAAAGAATCAACGTTGGCGGATTTTGGTTCTTGACATCCTTTACGATCGGTTACGATGCCTAGAGTACGATTTCGTCAACTTAGTGAGTTTGATAGGGGCCGTATAGTGGGACTTCGGGAAGCTGGACTTTCTTTTCGGGCAATTGTAGTTAGAGTGCAAAGAAGTGTAGACACTGTGGTTAGGTGTTGTCAGGCATGGCTTCCAGAAGGCCGCAAAGAGCAAGGGGCCCTGGACGCCGCCGTAGAACAACAGACCGTGAAGATCGCCGCCTAAGATTATTGGCCTTAAGGGACCGTTTCTCCACTACCAGGTCCATTGCAAATGAATGGTTTGCAGAACACGGAAGACCTATTGGCATGCGAGTGTTTACCGACGAATGAGAAGTTTTGGCTTGTTTTGATACCGGCCACACTGGGTCCTCCCTTTAACTCGAGAACATCGACGTAATCGCCTTGAGTGGTGCAGACAACGGTCACTCTGGGATCAGGAATGGAACAGTATTGTCTTTAGTGACGAGTCTCGATTTTGTTTAGGCATGCACGATGATCGTGCCAGGGTTAGAAGGCGACGTGGTGAAAGGAGGAATCCATAGTTTTTTGTTGAAAGACATGTTCATCACACTGTTGGAGTTATGGTTTGGGGTGCTATAGCTTATGGTTCCAGGTCACCTTTAATCTTCATCAGAGGTAACATGAACGCGCAGCGTTATATCCACGAAGTTCTAGAACCCTATCTTGACACCCTGGCAGATCCAACTTTCCAACAAGATAATGCCCGACCACATGTTGCAAGAGTCACAATAGACTTCTTCCAACATAATGATGTCACATTGTTACCATGGCCACCAAGATCTCCCGACTTATGCCCAATTGAGCACGTGTGGGATATGATGGGTAGGAGATTGCTCAATTTGCAACGTCCTCCTCAGACTCTAGAAGGACTTCGAGAGGAGTTGGTGGTTGCCTGGAATGAGATACCACAGGAGGACATTGACCACCTGATCAGAAGCATGCCTAGGCGCGTTGGAGAATGCGTAGCACATCAGGGTGCATCCACACATTATTAAAGGTCAAAGGGCTTTAAAGCAGTGCAATCATTTTGAAATTTTTATCATTTACTTATTATGCTTCATTAAGTACTTATACAAAATTTTATTAAAATAAAACCATTTAAACTGGGTGTTCGGATTTATATGTCACTTAGTATAGTTATTATGTCTAAAAAGTATTTTTCTCAAGTCGTTTAATATGTCATACTTCGTTATAATATTTCACAAAAAGGAAGCATCAAAGAAGCCTCAAATAAGACTTGAAATGTAACATTCTCGCTACACTCTCCAGCCTAGAAAACAAAACTAACTGTATACACAGCCGCAAAGTAAACAAGGGTTGTCACAAATCGCATTCTGGGTCTTGCGCCTGCTGTCATCGGCGTTACAAATCTAGCAGGCGATAAAAGTCCCCATACCTGCAGCACGTCAGGTAAAAATGATAACAGCTCCTAAAACCAGCAAAACAAATGCGAAACGCGACACTATAGCGTCCAAAGCACTCTTGACTTTCGTCAGGCGTTCGCCGCTTGTTTGTCTGCCTAGCCTGTTTGAAATCCAAACCAACGCTAACTGAGGCACTAGCTATGATAGAATTATCCAGAAATAATGCAAGTACAGGGAAATTTAACGTTGTTAGTATATTTTGTGTTTTAGAAATTTTAAGCGAAGTTAGTCGCAATAGCAAAAGGTAGCTATTAGAATCATCATCACTTATGTAGAAGAAATGTCAATAGCACAGTTTGGTGACTCAGACTTTCATAATTGCGTCAAGAATATAGAGCAGATTGAACGACGAAGTCGAAGTCCAAACACTATTGTACCAAGGTCTCTGTGTGAGTAATAATAAGATTAAGGAGATCATGTTGATGCAAGTATTGAAATAGTAGGAAGAAATGCTAATCAACCAAGATCGAAGATTTTCGGCCTTACTGGGCCCCGTATCAGTCTTCCCTGGTGGTTGCTAAGGGCGACATTATTAGCTACCGCAAACTACTGAAAAATATGAAGGCCAAATTTCCCTGTATTTTTCTCCTCAAGCAGATTGCTTCACAACGCCGACCCGTCTGAGCGAAAGGGTCCGAAGACTGTCTGTTAAAGATGAGTCATCGATCAGTCGGACATCCCTCCTCTGAACAGCACCGAGAAGGGATTTATGCAGCACCCCAAACATATACGTGCAGTAGTCGAGGGTCTTACCGAGAGTGAGGAGGTCATGTGGAGAAAAGTACTTCTTAGCCCTAAGCAAATAGTCTAACTTTTATTCAGCAGCTGACGCGATTGTAGATATCTGTTCGTACCAGATCAGGTTCTCGATAATCTAGGTTCTGGCCAGCCAAAATTAACGGCCATCCATCGAAATCGGATGAGCGCTAGGTACAGCACTGTATTTTGGAAGCATGAAACTGTACCAGATAGTTGCGTCTCAAAACATACCAGCTTGGTCATCTGAATTCCTGCATATCGAGTGATGTCATCATCATCATCTTTCTGTTCACATCCTTTACACGTGGATGTATCTCTATCATAAATCCTTAGTTTACAGCGTCCAATTGCTATGCTAGTAACAAACAAAGTTGTTGTCTGGACAGGGACAGGTAGCATTTTGGTATTTTATCACCAGAGTAGCTGAGAAATCTCTAACAAGTCAAGTGTCAGACACATGATCTCACATGTGTTTGAAGACTTTGTGGGTGTATTTTTTCAACATAGTGGTCTCATTTTCTTCTATATGGTCAATAAGGGCTTTCATTTTTTATACCTTTGGATACTCAATACTTAAGTGCAAAGGCGCGAACTTTTATTTAAGGTATTATAAATATTTCACTCAACGTCCAGTTACGCAGCAGTCAAAAATTCAAATATACACTTAACACCAACGTCTACAAAAATACCTGAGGGCAATCAAACATTCAAAACTAAAGTACACACATACAGTTTTTACACACGACTCACTAATCAACAAAAAAAAACACAAAAGGTCAGCAGTGTCGGGATCTTCGACAAAAGCATCGGTGACAAGAACGACACATACTTTCTTTCCGTCCCTGAACTTGACTGTTCCTTCGATGACGCAGCTGTTGTCCACCATTTTCTTCGAATTGTAGACAGACCGACAGATCACATGTCAATGTACGGCATTCCGATTGGCACACACATCGAAGGTATATCCCAAAGGGGGCACTTAAGTATCACCTCACTGTTAATGTGTAACTTGATCACTCAGGGACTGTTGGAAGAAACTTTGAATCAAAAATAACACTTCAGTTTTTTAGAGCACATAGTTATTAACACTAATATAGTTAAGAGGGCACAATTAAACTGTTTTCCATTTTTGTCATTAGAATTGACTAGATTTCATTCTGTGAAGAAAAGACACTTTCAGCCAGCAGTAATATTCCTGTCATCATTGCAAACCTACAATACTCAGCCTTTAGCATTTAAAAAGACTACTTACTCCTTCCAAAACTCATTGAATATTTTTGAATTACATTGTGGAGGCTGATTTTTAGTAATTCCCTATTTCTAACATAAAACTAAAATAGAACATAATATGTTATGTATCCAAAAGATTCTTTAGTTGGGCAAAAGTACCCATAAAGATAATCTGTGGTAAAAAATGTTCAGAGGTGTCAATTGCTGAATTTCTTAATGTGGTTTACCTATATTATATTGCACATAGAAATTGAAACACATAATCTAGCTTCAAAAGCACATTTAAGTACAAAAACCATTAATACTTGTTGAGAAAAATGACGTACAATGTTCTGCAACTGATGACAGAAAAGTACCGCTAACCAGCAGTGTTTGATGGAGTAAGGCACAAAAATGAGGGAAGTACGGTTTTTATAAATCTTTTGCTATCAAAGATACATTGTAGGTTGTCGCATTTTCTCTCGGCAAACTACGTAAATTGCTATTGCGGATTTTGCAAGAAGAGGTGATACTGTTATGGTCCGAAAGAAAGCCACATTTCAATATTTAATCATTCATGGACTAGTACAACAAAGTGTAAGTCTGGAATGAATTGTTAAGATTCAGACGTACAATAATAAATGTAGCTGATTGTTGATAATCCATACTATTGTCTTTTTTTCTAAGAATTATATCGCGATCCATTACCAGGAGCTATCAAGTATCAATAGTTCAAATAACAAGAGGTGAAAACGTCAATTATCCTTCTTCGATTTTATTACGTGATATATTTTTATGCTTTGCTGATAAAAAAGTCAAATTGAAAACTGACCATGTTCTAGGGTAGTAACTTATTTAAGATAAATAAGAACTCGGGATTTGTGAAAAGAGTAAATAAATTATATGAAGAAAATTTATGTTATTCGGCAACGAAAAAGGTTACTATTGCTTTTGTTACATATTAGAGTTTAGAAAACAAGTTTACAAACCATCTTGACATTTTTAGGGACAGTTAATTACAGAGACGTTGTTGTTTTGGAATAAGTGATAACCTCCTATACCTATATTTTGAGAAAACAAAGTTATTGATCTATTAGTACTACTTTACCGATATAAGCATTTTGAAATCCAAGAAGTAGCTTTCTATATATGTATTTTTTCAATTTTTGCACTCATGCTGGTATATATTTTGAAGAATGCAGGAATACAGAATATCGGAATCTGAATATTTTTTAGGTAAAAGAAGTAATTTTTTGCACCATAACTGGAAAAACATACTCCATATACAAAAAGATTAAAGAAAAAGTAAAAAATAATTCGTAATAATATGTAACTAAAATTAAAATAATTAGGTACTTATCGATTTAGCATAATGAATTAGAAGACGATGTCACATTTTTACAATACGTCCTTTGATAGCATTACAACAACATGTTTCCCCCTCTATATGCCTTACTCTTCAAAAACTGTTAAAGCCGTCATTTAAACAAAACACTGTCAACGTCCACGTCCGCGCCGGCGAAATCGCGTACGCTCCGCGTGCGATCAAGAAACCGTCTATCACACAGTTAACGCTGCGTCGGGTTGCGCGCGACTGAGTTGGCAATGGAGCCGCGGAGCTGCTCAGGCTTCTCTCCCTTCCCCTCCCACCTCCAGGGAGTTTCCAAGGGGAGGTTAGAAGACCAAGGGTTACAGGCCACAAAGACACAGACGATCATTTCTTAGATTTTAGAAGGTCAAACATCTTAGAATATCATTTACTTTTTACCATGGAAGTGCGGGCTCAGGCTGCCACCTCGTTCTACCCCCACCTCCAGGGATAGCCTCTCGCATAGACAATTATTTCTTAGGCTTTAGGAGGTCGAACATCTTCGAGCAATAGCTGCCTCTCCCCGCCTCTCCCATCTTCAGGGAGAAACAGGGGCCAATGCAACAAAGACAATTATTTTCAGCAATCAAGTTGACTTTTTTACCTTTTTAGCTTCCGGATGAAAAAATTATTTGCTTTTTATTGACGATTCCTAGGATTTTGAATACGAAGGTTCTTCCCAGCTGGAGTCTTGAGCGATTTAATTTACTTTTTCCTTAAATTTTTATGATGGTTTCTGTAAAATGTAATAAAAAAGATAATGCAGTAGGTAGTAGCAATCAGCAAAGAGCCAGAAGTATCAAAATATACAAAAGTACTTTTGCTTAAACTTTGTTGTGGCTCTGGTTAAATGAAATCACATAAATATGTTGAAAGTATTTTTTACTGACCTTTTGGCTACCACAGTAGTCATTTTCAAAGTGCAAATGTTAACAATAACAATATATTTTATATTCATCTATCTTCTAGGTGACAGTTTGTTTTTTACTCGCCTACTGGCGGGGAAGGATTGTAATCGCAATTTTTTTTAGAAAAAGATATGTTTTTTCGCTGTCATATGACATGTACATCACGAAAAATTATGTCACTCTGTAGGTTTGCCTGTCTGTCGGTCTGTCCGCTAATCTTATAACCGCCTATAACTTGATAAGTACCACTCGGATTTTGATAAGATTCTTAAACAATGTTGTTAATATGTCAAGGACGCAAATGTTTTGTAGTTTATGAAAATCGGTCAAGTGGCGGTAGAGAAAAAGGTCTAAAACGAAAAATTAAAATTCGTTTTTTGACGTATCAGAATTTTTGAAAAATTTTTTAGAGGTTCAAAAGTTGGGGTGGGGTTATAATTTTTTAATGCTGGTACATTTATTATTATTATTAAACAACAAATTTGAGTTGAGTACAAGTACTATAAACTCAAACACAAAAATAGATAATAGTGTATAGACAAAAGAAATATAACAATTTGACAATCTTAGCACTTCTGAAGTAGACATATACAGAATGGGAACAATATGTTAAGCACTGCGGTGTCTATCGTAATTGTTTTTGAAACTGTTGACGGATTCCGAGTTCACTACATAAGATGGAAGACTGTTCCATGCATCGAAGACACGGTTTGAGATGAAGCGCTGACGAGTAGAGGTTCTAAAAGCTTCCTTCTGCAATTTGAAGTTATGGCCTCTGAGACTGTTCGTTGCCAGACGAAACAGATGCGACATGTCCACACCAAACAAATTATGCAGTGCTCTGAAAGTGATGATGAGATCTCCTCGTACTCTTCTATCAGCAAAAGCAGGCAGGTTATATAGCTCGAGGCGGTCTTCATAACTTGGCCTACGTGTGCCATATGGCATACGTGTAGCACGACGCTGAACGGCCTCTAATAAGCTGCTATCGCGAACAAGGTTTGAATCCCATACCGGACCAGCAAACTCCAGTAGGGGTCGTACGAAAGTTGTGTACAAATGTTATTATTAAAAGGAGGAGGTACTAACGGTGCAACCGCTAAATGACCTTTCCATCATATATAGCAACCGCTTTGCCTTAGAGGTTATGTTCTGAATGTGCTCCGACCAGGTGAGCCGGCCATTAACTGTCAGACCAAGATCTGTGTGATGAAGAACAGTCTCTAAGGTATGTTTGCCAATCTTATATGTTAAGTTAGGATTATTCTTTCCCAGGTGGAGAACGTAGCATTTCGATAGATTTAAATGCAGGGGCCAGAGTTCTGACCACTTTCTGATCAGCTTGAGGTCTTCTTGAAGCACAGATGAGTTCATGACAGTGTTATAGACTTTAGTATCGTCTGCATAGATGGAACACATAGAATAAAGTCGGGTGGGAAGGTCGCTTGTATAAAGAAGAAAAAGTATTGGCCCTAGCACAGATCCTTGTGGAACTCCACTAGTAACACGATGACTAGGAGAATAGGCGTCTCCAACACGGACGGAGAAAGATCTGTCTAACAAAAAAGCTTTAATCCATAACAACAAATTTCCCCTGATTCCGAGATGTTCCAACATTGGTAATTCTACCTTTCTACCATTCTAGACATATTTCACACATTACATTACCTCTGAAAACTAAAATTAAAAATATATTCTCGGTAGACGGATCGCCCACCTATCGGCTGCGGTTGCTTCTGACCTCGAGCGCCGACTGTGATGAGTGTTCTGGTATGGAATCACACGTGCATCTACGGTACTACAGTGTTACGTCTATGGACTAATTGTATCGACCTGTTTGACTGACTTTTCCCAAGATGGTCTACTTTGTGCTGAACATATTCTTTTATGTACTGATACGTGCGTGAAGACCAGAGTCAACCTACTTAACACCATTTTTCCGCTACCATAGGCGAAGGTATCATTACTATTTTAAGAAGGCACCGCCCAAAACCAGCAAAGCCCAGGAGTATTGTGCATGGGTCTAAAATTCGAGAAATAGTACTTCTTCTGAGGACATGGTTTAAGATACATCAAAGAAAAGGAGAAACCTGGAAATAAAAGAGCCACCGTCGAGCTACAAGAAGATATTGATGTAGTTTATAGCTATTCTGTAAAGCACAATTTTGTGGTAAATTCCTCAAAATCAAAAATCATATTATTATGCTCTAATAAAAACTTGAGCGCATCCTCCAAACGTTTTATCCCAAAATTGGATCGGAAGGAGTAGAATTTAGTAATGATTCTAAAATACTTGGCGTCATTTTAGATACTAACTTAAGATTTAAAAGTCATGTTTCTAGCATATTACAAAAATAAACGTGTTCTGCAATCTGCACGAAAAAAACTAGCTGAATCCCTAATTCTCTCAATTATTAATTACTGCAATATACTATACCAGCCTTGTTTGGATGAGCCCATTAAAAGACGTTTACAAGTGACTCAAAACAACTGTCTCAGATTCGCGTGTGGTTTAAGAAAATATGACCATGTTAGCCATGCTTACAACACCTTTGGATGGATGAAGCTCGAGTGTTTGACTATTTTTCATTATTTGGTCTTCCTCCATAAACTGCTCGCAACTGGTAAACCCAACTCTCCAAAAGAAAAACTTATTTTTTCTAGTGGAATACATAACAAAACTCTTAGATATAGATTAAATATTAGAATACCTCACCACTGCAAGTCGCTCATTTTCTTATAATGCCTCGGTATAATAACATTCCTGATTATTACAAAACCATGAATCTGTCTCGTTTCCGTAACATGTTAGAATATACTTACAGAGCTCTACGTTATAATGTTTCTTTTCTTTGTTCAATTTTTGTCAATAATACATACATATACTGGTATTTGCATATGTCAGTTTATGGGCACATATGTTTCTAGGCATTCAAGTAGCTACGTGTTTGATTTAACTGTTTTCAATACCATTGTGACATTGCAATAGCAAAAATGTATTGTTTTGTATCTCCTATACCATCTTTTTTTTCGTATTCATATGGTTAAGTGTAAAAATAGCTTTAGCTAAGCTTCGCCATAATGAATCACACTTCTGTACCTTGGTTAATAAAGACGATATTATTATTATTATTTTTATTATTATTATATTGTCCACGAGTTGGTTTGGAGAATTTATGAAAGCTTTCCTCAGGATGAAGATTTGTTAATACGCCCTAATTCACCCAAAACTGAGAGTAAGCACTTACACATGGACATACACATATATACATGATATACACATGTTGGTTGGCATGTGGCCAGTGTAGTAAAAACATCCCTCTGATTTATCACGTGCAACATCCCTTTATAACAAAAACGAGGATCATGACGTGTTTACCAACTGAATAACAAAAAAGAAAGTAAGTGAAGCAGCGTGGTGGCTGTTAGCCCGACGATAAGCTGGGTCGCGATTTGCACTTGAAATTGTGAGATTTTCTGCCCATTCTGACTGTGTCTCTTTTTTCGTTATCCAGAGCTTTTGTTGAGTTTTAATTTACTGTTCGTTTAAACCTTTCATACCATCTTCTTTAGTCATTTGTATTGAAAGTGTTTCTTCAAAAAAGGAATTTAAGGGAAGCTGCGCATTTATTTTTTCACTGCAATGATTCGTGGAACTCTACATAGTACGCAAAAAAGGTATATTTTTAGATATATATTATTACCTCTTATGCTCATGTTAAACGATCAATTGTCCTTTAGATACGCGAGCTAGCGTGCTAGATGATGAATTCACATCATGTAGCAGTTCTTTCTTCTTCTTCTTTTTTTTTGAAAATACTGCAACAGTGAAAAGAAGATTATTGCGACAAACTTATCGTTCATAGTTAAGAACGTCAAAATCTACTGTTTACATCAATCTACATATCAATACCATAACAATATTGTAACTGCTGCTATAACAGTCTGAAAAACTGAAATCAAGTAGATTATCTCCCGCGCAGAAGTAGCAACCTATGGGAAGTAAAAGTGCCAAGCATATCCACTTGCCTCGGTTTTCTTATAAGTATAGATAACAGACAATGGAACACAGTTCAGACTGTCATCATGGCAACCCTGATCTTGCCACCAAGGCCCCACGACCATTCAAATCAATGCAGTTTACAAAGCAACAAACAGACACATAAACGTGACCCGTGCTTTTATAGTTTGCGTACCAGAGCTGACATGTGAATGTGAGTGTACGTTTCGCATTTTATGCCGAATGAAGCTGTTCGCTGCACTGACATGCAAAGAGTAGTAGTACCCGAGAGTACCGTTGCCGGAATCCCCGTATAATGACTGAAAGATTGCTATCGGTCAGTGATCAGAAGGTCTGATATACACCTAGAAGCAGATTAGCGCATTTGATATGCTATGGTTGTTCTTTCTTCCTTTATCCGATTTGAAAGTGGGTTTTTTGTTTAGATTGCAAATACCATTAATTCAAATGAGGTTTAATGTATGACTATGGTTAGTACGCAAGCAAGAGGGAGTCAATTAGAGATTATTTGAGATTGAGATTAGACGAACGTTCTAGATGATACTGGTGGAAGTGAAATAGGACAATATATTTTTAATGAACGACCATAGTTTAGCCAACTTATACATTTCAAAACCTGTATATATATATATATATAGTACTTTCTAAAAAGGCTTACCTTATATATTTTTCGAATAGGTCAAGCTAAAAAGATGAATCTAAGAGTTATGAAATTGATGCATGGCTATGAATTTTAACGCAAAGTAGAAAATCTCAAAATAACGGAATGGTGCCATCTCAGAGCAGTTTTCAGGACTCGAGGCCACACGATACCTATTGGAGCTACTTATGAGTATTCTATAACCTCCAGTAAATAATTATTATTTTTCGCAAACTGGCACGCAGTCAAAGTTGAGGTAATGAAGAGACTGGCATTTGATTACTAGTTGGAAATGGATAAGCGTAGGGTTGACTTGACGCCATTTATTTACCATTAAATACAGGGTTTGTCCGGAAAGTAACAGGACTCATTTTCTTCCGCCATGACTGTACTTCGAAGCGACTGGATTCGGTAGAGGGCGTTCCTAGCTAACGAATGAGCGTCTGGTCAGTTGTCTCCGAGCACTTGGAGAGTCAGGACAGGCATTTTCGAGCGACGTGTTTCTGTGAGTGGTGCAAGCCGAAAATGCAGCGTTCGTTAGAGCAGAGGTACGCGATTAAATTCTGTGTGAAACTCGGTAAATCAGCGACAGAGACGTTTGATATGATCAGGCAGGCTTACCCAGGTGTTGCTTCAGCAAGAAGTAGTGTATTTCGGTGGCACCAGGCCTTTTAGCTGGAAGACCTTCGACTTCGACAAACACCGATAATGTGACTCGTGTGCGCACAGTTTTGAACTCAGACCGTCGACTAAGTATTCGTTTAATTGCCCAGATGTTAAATTTACCAAAATCTGTGGTTCATGACATTGTGACACAGCATTTGAACATGCGCAAGGTGTGCGCGAAGATGGTCGCAAAAGTGCTCACTGACGACCAGAAATTGCGATGAGTGGAAGTGTGCCAAGAAAATTTGAACATGTGTGAAAGTGGCCCCCAATTTTTGAATAACGTAATCACAGGTGACGAGTCGTGGATCTTTGAGTATAATCCCGAGACAAAGAGGCAATCTTCCGAGTGGCACACGACGGCGTCTTCTCGCCCAAAAAAGGGAAGAATGAACAAATCCAAAGTGAAAACGACGCTGATAGTCTTATTTGACATCAAAGGCAGCGTCCACCATTTGTTCCTCCTGGACAAACCGTCAACGCCAAGTTTTACGTGGAAGTGCTCAGGAGACTCAAACGAAGGGTCAGTCGGGTCTGACAAGACATCGCAGCCGACTGGAAGTTGCACCACGACAACTACCCGGCTCACACCGCCTTACTTGTGAACAGCTACCTGACCAAGGCCGGCATCCCAACGCTTCCGCAGCCGCCCTACAGCCCAGATGTGACTCCCCCCCCCGGACTTTTTTTGTTTCCTCGCCTGAAAAAGGCCGATGAAAGGCAAGCATTTTGAGACGACAGAGGGGATCCAAGCAGCATGCTTCAATTCATGCCTCAATTCTATTCTGGAGAATGCCTTCCGTGACGCCTTCAATGCTTGGAAATCGCGCTGGCAGCGCTGCATCAACGCAGAAGGAGCCTATTTTGAAAGTTTTTAAAGAATTGTAACGATTGTCTCAATAAATTTTTTCAAATCGACTCAGTTCTATTACTTTCCGGGCAAACCCTGTATAGTATTCATACATCAATTTCATCACCTCACAGTTCAGCTTGCTAACCAGTTCAAAATATAAGTGAAGAGCACTGTAAGGTAAGGTTGCCTATATCGTACCACTTTTTGGCTTTTATTTTTTTTTTCTTAAGAACTGTTAGTTCTAGTTAATTTTTTTTTGTTCAGAATGATTGACAGAACTTTTGGACACATGAAAGCAATTTTTAAAGTTTATGGCCATGTTTGTGGCACTTTATCATAACTTCAACTATAGACTTGATTATAATTTTAACTTCTTTATTAGAAGGCTTAGTTTTTTTAGTATCTTGTGTTGACTTTTTGGTTTGAAAAACATGTTTTGGGAGTCTCTTCAGCCTTCTTCATTTCATATTTTCGTGCCTTTAAAGCATATTTTTCCTCGAGCTCATTTTTATAAGGGCTTTCTGTCAGTATTGCCACTTTTTGTGCAACCCTTTTGGTCCTTTCACCTGATTTTTTGACAATTTTTGGTTTTGGTAGTGGACTTATTTTTTCAATTAGAACAGTGTTACTATCTTTATGTGGTCTCATTCTTTCTCCTTGTGTTAGTTTACTTGTTGACGAGATCGGATCTTCCTGGACAAGATTGGCTTGATTTTCATTTGTCACATCTGTAACTTCGCTAGGAGTATCTTCCTTCTCGGCTTCAATCGTGTCTGGGACCAGTAGGTTTTCACTTGCCACAAAATCTCTGTCAGAAAAAACATTTCGGTTTACAGGCCACACCCCCGAAGCTCTAAATCCAATTGCGGCATTATGTGTTGTTGCAGAGTTTGTGTAAGCTTCTGTTAACAAAGTAGCTACTTCAAACTGTGTTACTTTTTGATCAACATTTGTTCGAAACCAGTTTGCCATGACCTGCATGTAGCTTGACTCCACGGACTTAAAAACTCCAACGTCTAGAGGCTGCAACCTATAGGTCGTATGCCCCGGAAGTTGCAGTAATATTATGCCATTTTCTCTAGCTAATATTATGGCCTCTAAGTTTTTAGGATGAGTAGTGTGTCCATCGAGCAAAATTATGCATTTGCCATTTTTAATTGGTTTTACATATTTAATAAAATGTTGCAACTATTCAACAAATAATTCTGAGATAATGTAACCGCTTTCGCTGGACTGCACAATACTGCCAGGAAAGGCTCCATTTTTGGGTGCTGCGTGCATACGTTGCCTTTTGAATATGAACATGGGAGGAACATAGGTGCCTGCGGCATTGCAAAAACATACCAACGTTGTATTAATTCCTCGTTCTCCACTGGCAATAAAACCAACTTGATGTTTTCCTTTAAGAGCCCAAACCTGATTCGTCGACGTTGTAAATGTAAAAAGCGTCTATTCCAGTTTCGTCAACAATCTTTTCCAACACGTCGAAAAATTCATGCACATTGGTCTTATTGAATCCTTTAGAGCGCGCAATCGAAATGTTCTCTGGTTGACGTAACCTAAGCTCGGGGTGCCTGGACATAAAACTATAATACCATTTCTTACTAGCAATTTTCTTCTTATTATTTAAAAGACTTGGTAGATTTAGACAGTCTGCCACTAAATCATAAGCGTACGTCTGTGATATTCTATTATTGCATTTTTCAAGTCGTCCATTGACCATTTTCCATATTCTCTTTTGGGCATTTTCTCAAACAATCAAACATTTTTTAAATTATTGCTATTTTTTTTCTAAAACTTGTTTTCTATTTACGAAAAGAAATTGTAATAATACACAGAGTTTTCTATTTAAAACATATTCTATTAAAATTAAAACAAACTACCTATATTTTTTGAACAACAAACAAGTTTTTATTTTAAAGCAAAAATAAGGTACTTATATTTTTTGTTAACTATCTTTTCTCTGTGCACATGAAACAATTCTATAACAGATTTTTTCTCTAGAAAAATAGGTATTTTTTGTCTCTGTGTACATAAAAAAAATTCATAACAGATTTTTTGTGTTGGTCAAAAAATATATTTAAACGTTAGATATTGAAACAACTTAGAAAAAGAAAATTTTGACAACATTAAGGATATCTCTATAAATAGGCGTGTTAATTCTTTTTTCTCTGTGTACAAAAACAATACATACCATTTTTTTGTGTTAAACAACCAAATGAGTAGGTGGACTTTAAAACGACATGGGTTCCCCGAATCGTACCGGTACGATTTGGGAAACCCAACGTGGTACGATTTGGGCAACTTTCAATAAAGATAAATAGACGAGATTCTAACCTTACTTTCCACACCTAATTTAACATTTAAATTTTGTAAATGAAAGAGAACTTCCTAAGCTATAGAACTAGAGAAAATATTCTGTATAAATAGTACATACCGACAAGCTACAGCCTTACGTAATCTCGACAAAATTAACATCAAGATGCCCATAAAATTTTCACTTAATTTTGGGACTAAGCAAAACACAATCCACCGAAAACAACTCTACCCCTGAACTGACATTTGATGGACACAACATCTACGGCTAATCGTTATACTACATTTTACCGCCTTATTTGAAATATCGCAGTGGTACGATTTCGGCAACTTTCCCCTATACAGGGTGTTTCAGTTTATTGTTGCATAACTTTAAGATTCGATAGAACTTTTAAAATTAATGCATAAAGTCTATATAAACATGGGTCGAAATATGCGTGGCTTCCGAAATACATGGTGTTTAAATTTACTTTCTAAAATAGTTTTTTTTAAATATTTCGAACAATATCTGATGTATAACAGTGAAAGTTGGAATACAAGGGTTTTTTGGTACGGCAAAACGAACCATGGGCATAGTTTTACTGTAGCCGCTAGAGGGCGCTCTCTACTGTACCTGTAGTGTATTAAAATGACCGAAAATTTTTTCTTAGTGCAATTTTTTGCTTTTTGAATAAAAAAACTGATTCTTCGCACTTTTCAACATAAAAAAGCTCTCTTGTGAATTTTCGTTATAGTTAGCCGTTTTTGAGATATTTCGATCTTTAAGGTTCGACGCATTTTTAATTATTTATGATAAAATAACGTTAAAAAGTCAGTATCTGGATAATTTTTAGAAGTAGGCTGTGCCTGCAAATATTTTTGAAATTGAAAGCAGAATAAGGTTAAACGTCAATTAGTTGACAGTTAGTTTTGTTGTCTGTTGAAACCTGAAACGTTTTTTTGTAATTGTGAATGCACGAAATTTAGTTTCTTTTACCTGTTTTTTTTTTGTAAGTTTTATTCTCCAATCAAGAGTTAGCGGATATTCATTTTGTGTATGGCTTTGAAAATGGAAACGCAGCAGAAGCAGCCAGAGAATACGCACGAATATTTCCAAACAGACGACATCCAACTCGCTCAGTATTTGTAAGAGTGCATCGTCAAATAATTGAAAATGTTCTTAGAAATGACCATAGACGTCCTTAGCATTTGCAACCTGTGCAAGAACTACAGCCAGGGGACGGAGAACGAAGAATCACATTTTGTCAGTGGATTCTTGATAGAACTGATAATAATAGGGAGTTTTTAAGTAACGTTTTATGGACCGATGAGTCATGCTTCACTAGACGTGGAGTGGTAAATTTTCATAATCAACATATTTGGTCGCATGAAAATCCGCATGCAGTTCGGGACAGAAATTTTCAGCATGAATTTAGTGTGAAAGTGTGGATTGGTATCTACCGTAATCGACTATTTGGGCCCTACCTTTTGCCTGCAAGGTTAAATTCTGCGACCCTCTTGGAATTTTTAAAGTCTGAACATGCAAATATGTGGGATGATGTTATGTTAGATTTAAGAAGATTGGCCTGGTTCCAGCTTGATGGTTGTCCAGCTCATTATTCGAGAATAGTTAGAAACTGGCTGGACGAAAATTATCCAGAAAGAGAGCTTTTTTATGCAGAAAAGTGCGGAGAATCAGTTTTTTTATGAAAAAAGCAAAAAATTGCACTAAGAAATTTTTTTCGGTCATTTTAATACACTACAGGTACAGTAGAGAGTGCCCTCTAGCGGCTACAGTAAAACTATGCCCATGGTTCGTTTTGTCGTACCAAAAAACCCTTGTATTTCAATTTTGACTGTTATACATCAAATATTGTTCGAAATATTTAATAAAAACTATTTTAGAAAGTAAATTTGAACACCCTGTATTTCGGAAGAAACGCATTTTTCGACCCATGTTTATATAGACTTTATGCATTAATTTTAAAAGTTCTATCGAATATTAAAGTTATGCAACAATAAACTGAAACACCCTGTATACGTACGTTATTTGTACTGGTCATGAAATGGAAAATTGAAAAAGTTGAAGATGATTTTTTTTAAGCATCCAACTATTTTCTGACGTCTATTAACTGTTATCTTTATGATCGAACATTCCGATATAACATCACATTTGTCGAACTTGCTGTCCATTCCAGAATTTAGCAGAACTGTTGTAGATATCCCTTTCATCAATGATGCATCCTATAAATGCAGTTCCTGCAGTTCTCCGTGTGTCAGCAGAATCTGATCTACATCCTAGCTGCAAATCCGTGCATGACGGCAGTTCTCATCCCATTTATCCTCATTCAGCAACGGGCGAACGTTCGGTGATACGATCCATGATAGGAGGGCACATCACATCGCGAGACTATTAAATTATCATGGTCAGCTGGTCAGTTTCACAAAATCCATCGCTGGCAATGTGTGTGCCAGTCAAGCATGGCAGGGCAGAGGTCGTTTTTATGGTTTTCGGAAATTGGGAGGGGACCGTTCGTGAATGTACACCAGCAAAAAGGGGGTCACTGATCCTCTGAATAACGACTCTACGTGACCGATAGGCGTTTTCACGCCAAAAGGGAGATTTTAGAACATTTGCTCACAGGAGTGAACTGCGTCCAAAGAGAGTTTGAAAACTTTCTATCAAAATATAGAACAAAGATGCTATTCATATCTCGCTTGTCGGTTATATAAGTTGCTGCCTGATGAAATAAAAAATTCCTTCGTTATCAAAATTTATAAAAGAAATAAAAAAAATCTTACTTGAAAAGGGATGAGAACAAGTTCATAGAATCATAGTAAATAGGTCAAATATTACGTTTACATTTAGTGTGTCATGATATTTGAAAAAAATCTGTTACCGATTGTATTATTTGTTATATAAATGTTTGACTCACCTATGATGTACTTTTATTGAAGTTCATTACTGTTTATTTGTTTTTAGTATCTTTAAAAAAAAGTATAGATCTCTTAACAAATTAGTAAACCGTTGGTTAGGTAATACTTCTATATTCCTGTTTTTTAGATGTTGGTTTTTAAAATAAACAAAAAACTGTTAACGCCTTTTGTATTTTAATAGCTTTCAATATTAATATTCAACGTCATATAGCTAAAAACGTGCTAGCAAGGCAATGATAAGTTGAAAGTGTTCGACCTCAATGGGTATATTCCCCCACACACAAGCATTTGCTTTTTGTGGAGTTATATATGTTTTTTTTTAATACTGCAACTACCACGAAGGCCTAAGGCCTAAACACCCATTGGGCACCGTGGGGCTATAGGGGGATACAGGGGAAAGGGGGTCGCCACACGGACTCTGGCGAGGGAACACGTGTGCATGCAACATGCACACATTCTTGCTCCGTCTACGAGATCCGCCGGGTGGTAGTTTGTTGCGGGATATGGGATATGATTTTTCCTTTTGCTCCTAAATTGTATTTTTTTCAATAAACATTATTATTATACAATTATTATAGCATCAGACTCGGGAAATTTTTTTATAACATCCCCACTGTAGAATAATGTATATTCATATTTATTAATTTCGCAGAAATACCAACATGTTATACCTACAGCTTTGTTTCAGCAAAGTACGTGTTAAGAATATATGTTTTTCTTTCTCGGAACATCCAGTGACACGATTGAAGATAAGACAGTAATACCTATATAGAATGCTGTACCATTTTTAGTTTTGTGTTGCTATTTCTTTTTTCCAATTATAAAGGATTTCGAACTCCTTGATGGTATGTTATGATAGAATGGAAAAACGCAGCAGTAAAATTCAAATACCCAAATAATGCAATTATCTTCATTTTACTTTTTGACTCAATTTTTTTTGTTCCAAATGTACACCACAAAACGATCATACAAACTAAACAGGGATAAATGCATACAAGAAAACACGACATTCAAGATGTTCCCTCCAAATTTGACGTTCAACTGCGGATGACTATACTTGTATGTACCTTAAATGTTCCTAGTTTTATTGAGAACATATTTTTCCAAGTAACTAGTCAAGTTCGAACAAGCACTAAAAATTCTGGATTAAGGAATATCAATAAAAATAACCGGAACATGGACTGCTGGAACGGATGTTTTGAAATGAGCCTGCGCTTTTTTTTTTTCATACCGAAGCAGCCGCGAAGGCAGAAGTCTAAATACCAGAGCATCGCGGCTGCTACGAGGAGCTTAGGCAACTGCGTAAGATTAGTGGAATTGGGAAATCCTCCTGAGGCAAATTGTTCCACGATCTTAGTTCTGGATGAACGAAGTTCGACACGGTTAGGATATGAGGCCAAAGCTGTCTGTCTCGCAACATCATGGAGGAGGGTTCTGAGGAGCGAAGCCCGTTGACATAACGGGAGAAGAGAGCTAGATCGCCGACGGCCC